TAATTTTGTATCTATTCAATATATTAATTTAAGTATTAATTTTGTATCAACACTAATTCTGTATCTATTCAATATATTAATTAAGTATTAATTCTATATCAACAATAATTCTGTAACTTTTCAGTATATTAATTAAGTATTAATTCTGTATTTATTCAATATATTAATTTAAGTATTAATTTTGTATCAACAATAATTCCATATCTATTCACTATATTAATTAAGTATTAATTCTGTATCAACAATAATTCTGTAATTATTCAATATAATAATTAAGTATTAATTCTGTATTAACAATAATTCCGTATTTATTCAATATAATAATTAAACATTAGTTCTGTAGCAATGGCAATTCCGTATCTATTCAATATATTAATTAAGTATTAATTCTGTATCAACAATAATTCCATATCTATTTAATATATTTATTCCGTATTAATTTATTATATAACCTTATTATTCCGTATATTTGTGTTATATTTCATATATTATCTGTAATTTTCTTTATTATTTTAGTATATATTTTTCCATAGGGAAACTAACCCAGTTTTAACCACATGCTGTATGTTACCAGAATAGTGAGTAAGTTTTGTAACAATATTTTACAGTTAACTTACAATAAAAAATATATTAATCCTAATATAATTGCAATTGCATACTGCATTACTAAATAACGTGTAAGTTCTATAACAGAGTTTTTTTACAATAATTCTAATACAAACTAAATCATGTACAGTATGTTATCAGAGTGGTGAGTAAGCTCTGTTGTAGGATTTCTTAAGCAATTCCAATTTTTACAATAACTCACACAAAAATTATAAGGATTCAAATTCAAATTAATCAGTTTCAATAATATTCTATGCCGCACCAGAGTAGCAAACATGTTTTATAACAGAATTTTTACAGTAAATCATGATAAAATAATAACACCATGCAAACTAATTCTACCTTAATAACATCCTATATGCCACTGGAATAAAAAGTAAGTTCTGTAATATAATTTTATAGTAAGTTATAATAGAAATCATGATAATTCTAATGCAGTCTTAATCATATATTATATATTACTAGAATAGTAAATAAGTTCTGTAACAGAATTTTTATAGTAACTTATAATAGAATACATAATATAGTTTTAATAAAAACTAACAGCCTTAATTATATCCTGTATGTCAATATAATAGCAAGTAAATTTTATAAACAGTAGCATAATCTACATATTATGTTACCAGAATAGCAAATTTTATAATAGATGTATTTACAATAATGTTAACTCATAATAGAAATTACAATAATTCTAATGCAAACTAATTCAACCTTAATTACATTCTGTCTGAAATAACAGGTATGTTCTGTGACAGAAATTTTTACAGAGAATTCATAATAGTTTCAATGCAAACTAACTCAACTTTATTTATATATTGTGTTACCAAAATAGCAATAAGTTCTATAATAAATTTTTTTACAGTAACTTTCAATGTAAACTACCTCTACCTAACCATACACAGTATGTAAGTTGTATAACAGAATTTTTATATAATTTACAATTCAAGATAATTTAATCTCAACTATATACTGTGTGTTACCAGAATAGTGAGTAGTTTTGTACCAATTTTTTTACAGTAACTTACAATGCAAAATAACTCAATTTATTCACATACTGTTTGTTATAAAAATAGTAAGTTCTGTAACAAAGTTTTACAGTAACTCTTTATAGAAATCATGATAATTTATCTAAAACTAATTCAACTTCAATTGCATATTTTATTACCAGAATAGCAAGTAAGCTCTGTGTTTTTTTTGCATTAATTTTGCAATGTAATTCAACCTTAACCACATACATTCTGTTACCGAAGTAGTGAGTAGGTTTTGTATCATAAGTTTTTACAATGTAAACTAACTCATGCTATGTGTTACTAGAATAGCAAGTAAGATTTTTTATAGTAACCCTTGGTAGAAATCACGATAATTTGAATAAAGTATCTCAACTTTAACAGCATATTGTATCATTAGAATAGCAGGTTGCTTAGAATGGAAATTATAATAATTTTAATAATATTGTGTTATTGGAATATCAAGTTCCATACCAGAAGTTTTTTATAGTAATTCATAATACTGTAGAAAACAATATAGTTCTAATACAAACTATCGCAATTTTAACCACATATTGTGTGGCACCAAGCTCTGTAACAGAATTTTTTACAGTGCCTTATTATAAAAATCACATTATTTTAATGCAAATTAACCATATACTATGTGTTAACAGAATAGCAAATGAGTTCTGTAACAAATTTTTTCATAGTAGCTCACAATAATTAACTCAATCTTAACCGTCACAGAATAATTTAAATAACAGGAGTTTTTATTATAGAAATCCAATACAAACTAACTATAACCTATAGGTTCAAAGAATAAATATCAGATAACTATTGCTAACAATTAATGCTAAAAATTTGATCTCTATTGGCATATATCCAAAAAAAATATCATAAGCATATCAGGCAAAATAAATATTAGATATCTAATATTTATTTTTTTATTTAATATGCTTCAGATTTTGGTGCAAATAGTAGCAATAGTTAACTATCGAGTATTTTATATTTATGCTTTATACCTATGACCAGAATGGTAAGTTCTATAACAGAATTTCTTATAGTAATGCACAATGCAAACTAACTTAACCTTAACCACACACTGTGTATTATGAGAATAGTAAGTTCTGTAACAGAATTTTTTACAATAACTCATAATAGAAATCATGATTATTTTGATACAAACCTAATACAATAGTTAACAAAATAGCAAGTTCTACGTATAGCAGTATTTTTTACAGTAGTATATGATAGAATTCATATTAATTCTGATACAAACTAATATAGCTTTAACTGCATGATATATGTTACCAGAATAGTGGTAAGTTTTGTAACAATTTATTATATAGACGAATGATAAAAAACAATTTTTTACAATGAAATTATGATAATTTAAATTTATACTATGTCACCACAATAGGGGGTGGCGCTACGCGCCACCTGTTACACTAGTTTCTTTATTAAATGTTGAAAACTGTATTATGGCACAAAGATATTAAATTAGAAACAATAAAATTTCATATAGACAAATAATCTTATTTCTAAATTTTAACTAAGAATGAATGATTATTGACCTAAAAGAATGCAAAAAATGGTTAGAGGCATTTTATTGGAATAATATTTGGAATAATTTTATATATTATCAACTATTCAAATTTCACATTCTAAGCTACAATTCTGTTAAAATAGATTTTTATTTTCATTATAAACTTAAAAGGTTATAAGAGCTTAAAGTTTATACGTTATCAAATTTTTATAAAAAAAAAGTGAATATTTCTAACTGTCCAGTACTATATGATTTTGAAACTATTCAGCAATCCGTAATAGGGAATATGGACTTATAATTCTTGTAGTATTGAAAATCTGAGAATTTAAACCCTATTATAGTACTTAGAGATGGAGAAAATGCGCATTTTATAATAACACGCGCATGTTATATAAAATGCGCATGATATCGCATGATATAATTTTTTTTGATTTTATATTTTCCCTCAGGAAAATATCGGATATTTGCCAACCCTTCTCATCTTTATGTTCATTCATTTTCTTTTCGGAATTTTTCAAAACTTCTGCATTCCTATTTCTTAATTTTGCCTGGCATTATACACCTTGCCCTAAATTAAGTATACTTTAATTTTCCTATATAAAATTTAGTTAAAATGCGCATGATTCCGAATCATGCGCATGAATGCGCATTAATGCGCACGCTGAAAATATTTGATCAAAGTTTTATCAAATATTTTATTATAAATATTTGATTCAAATTCAAATTTTAATTTTTGCGGAGCACTACTCAGGTACTTAACTTTTTTAGGGCACTCTGGGGCTAGGTTGGCCAATGGACAATATCCACTGACAATTTATTCAGAACCCATCATAGTCCGTAGATCGTAAACATGGTATGTTTGTTGGATTAATACGCATTTATATACAGTATGTATGTTTAAAATACCGATTAAATGTAGCGTACGTCGAACTGCGAAGAAAAAGAAAGTTCACTGTTCTTTGTTTTTATCTTTGGTCTCAAATGCATTAGTTTTCATTTCTTCACTTTAAATATTTTAAAATAATATTTTTAATACACGTATCGATATGGAATGCTTAACACCTTAAATTAAAACCATATAACCTTGTAAATATTTGGATTTTAAGCTAAAATAGATTATCGGCCGTGTGATAATATTCAATAATAAACTCGAAATTACAAACTACAATATTTGATGGACAGAATTAACCCCCTCATATTTTTCTGTCGGCATGCAGCAGATCACTTCCAATGAGTTTATGATTTGCGATAGACATCTTATTTATTGGTTGCTATCTTTCTCGTGATCCGCCACATTTCCTTTTAGACTAAAGCAGAAAGGATTTTCGTGGAAAAATTTTATATTATCTTATATTATCTTATATGCGCTATATGCGCTATATAAGCTGAGCTGCGTTGAGTTGCGCTGATAGCTCTGAGCATGCCCCCAAAAATTTTTTAACGTATTCGGGTTGTATTTATAAGATTTTTTAAGTTCGACGACTTTTGATTCCATAATAAGATGTATGCATCGCTATGTAAACTTTATTTGAAATTATGTATGTACGTATATACTAAAAATACATTAATAAGTTTTATTTACTCTCAAATCATTCCCGATTTTAGCTACGTTTCCATAATTAGATGATGCATTCTTAAGAGGGTTTGATCGTGTTTACTAAATACAAGCCAAACTTTATAGTAAATTGTTATACCGATTAATGGGACTGGAGCGAACTTTTTTTTTCATATTGTTGTCTATTTGAAAATATTACTTTTATTTTTAGTCTTAAAAGAACAAAATATCATCGTTTATTTTTCATGGCATTTTACACATTATAATTTTATCGTCAAGGACTCTTCTCTTGCCAGACTTTAGCGGTTCAAGAAAGAGGAGAAAACCCGACCCGATTCGGCTTCTTTGTAGAGGGTCTCTTTTTTTTTTTTGAAAGCCTCTCCGATTTGTTGTAAGCGTTGTGGATTTCCTCAGCCAATTTTTCGGACATTAAGTAAGGAGTTTTTTTTTCTCTGGCTCCTTCAACTATCCAGCGTAAGAATATTTTCTCGCCTCGTGCACCATCAATTTCTTTAGGAACCCGTTGTTTAGTGGCTCCAACGCGCCGGCTTTTCATTTCCAGACCTGGTTTAGCATTCGTTTTTGCTCCTTCAAAAACGGTCAAGAAAGGTTATTCATAAAATAATATACACACATTTTATCGTCAATAGATTCTCTATTAAATATTACTTCTCCGTTATTTTA